CTTTGGCTCTAAAGAAGCCTCACTTAAGAAAGCCTGTTGTACAAAAATGCAAATTTTATAATATACTTCAAAAGTGTATTATCTGTGTCACATGCGAATGACCTGGCCTGTGACACGATCCCGAGAGGTCCTGAGAACATGTGCTCAGGACGGTTGAAATTAGAACTTGGCTTTACCCATTGTTTAGACCCCAGAAGTTACAAGCAAACATCAAACAATACATTTGAGGTTTACATTGGTTGGCCCAGGGAAAGCAGGGGGTTGTAGGTCATAGGTAGATTCAAAATTTTTTGGATTAGCAACCCCCCCCCCCCCCCGCGTGGGCACACTGCTAGGTTTTTAACTTAGGGTGAAGAGGGAGGGAGGAGCTGGGCGGGGCCCCGGGTATCCTGGCGTCACAACGCGCCGGGACCTGGTCTCGTGATGTCACGGAGAAGCGGCCTCCTGCGGGGGTCGAGGGGGGGTGGGCATAAGAGAAGAAGTGGGGGCTGGAAGGAGCCGAGTACGTTGGGGTCAGGACCTGATTCTGCCACCGAGTTGCAAAAACGTCTAGGATTTCAGAATTGCAGACAAAAGACTGTGTGTGTGTGTCTGTGTGACAATGGGAGTCTGTCCTTCCTTCCTTCCTTCCCTCCTCTATTGCTCCCTCCTTCCTTTTTTCCCTCCCTTCGTCTCTTTTTCTCCCTCTGTCTCTTTCATTAACGGCGAGATGTGGCCCCCAAAGTGAAAGTGGTCAGGCGCAGGGGCTCATGCCTGTAGTGGACTTTGGGAGGCTGAGACAGGAGGATTGCTTGGGGCCAAGAGTTTCAGACCAGCTTGGGCAACATAGGGAGTCCTCATCTCCATAAGAAAATCAAGAAACTAGCCGGATGTGGTGGTGCACATCTGTAGTCCCAACTACTCAGGAGGCTGCAGCAGGAGGATCGCTTGAGCCCAGGAGTTTAAGGTTACAGTGAGCTATGATCATGCCACTGCACTGCAGCCTGGGTGACACAGCAAGACCCTGTCTTTTAAAAAAATTACAAGCGTTTCAGTGTTTGCAGCTGGAAGTGAGGCAGAAGCCTGGGATGGAAGAAGGGAATTTTTGTGTTATGTTGGTTTTGTACTTTGGAGTGTGTGTGTTTTCCGTGTTTGCATTACTTTTTCTTTTTTTTTCCTGAGTTGGCGTCTCACTCCATTACCCAGGCTGGAATGCAGTGGCACGCATGCTCATGGCCACCCCAGTGCCGACCTTCTGGGCTCTGACAATCTTTCTACTTCAGCCTTCCAAGTAGCCAGAACTACAGGCGCATGCTACCATGCCTGGCTAATTTTTCATTTATTGTAGAGGCAAGGTATCGCCAAGTTGCCCAGGCTGGTCTCGAACCCGCGGGCTCAGCCAGTCCACTCGCCTCGGCCTCCCAAAGTGCTGGCATGACAGGCTGAGCCACCGAGACTGGCCTGCATTACTTTTCAAAGAAGAAATATGACCTAAAGGGACTGCATGTAGTGAGGCAGAAGCGTGAGATCAGCTGTCATGAGAAGCTTTCAGTTGCTGACCTACTGTGAGGCCTTGGACAACTGTCTTTTTTTCCTGATTTCTGGCCTCTGAGGGTTGCCCTGTCCTTGTCCCCGTCCCCCACCCTCACCCCAGCAGTCCAGAGAGGGCTGGCAGCCTGTGCAGGTTCCTAGCCCTGGAGGGTCTGGGTGAGAGCCAGGGGCTTGGGTGCCTGAGGAAGAGGAGGTCTAGGTTGAGGTGGGGACAGTCACCCAAAGAGCTGCAGGTGTCCGTTCTCCTTGGAAGGACCCGCCAGCAACAACAGGTCTGGAAGTTCCAGCGCTGGACTGGAGGCTGCCACCCCCATGGTGACCTTGTTGGCGACTTCTCCTGACCGGGTCACCTGGGGCCAGAGGTCAGAGGTTAGAGGCAGGACGTTCAGGAGGCAGAACTGGGGAGGGATCAGAGGTCAGTAGGGGAGAAGGATCATGAACCAGTGGGTTGAAAATCTGGTTAGGAGTGGGCTTGGTGGTTCAGCCTGTTATCCCAGCACTTTGGGAGGCCAAGGTGAGTGGACTGCCTGAGCCTGTGGGTTCGAGACCAGACAGGGCAACTTGGGGAGACCTCGTCTCTACAATAAATTAAAAAAAAAAAAGAAAGAAAAATTAGCTGGATGTGGTAGTGCACGCCTGTAGTTCCGGCTACTCAGAAGGCTGAGGCGGAAGGATCGCTGGAGCCCAGCAGGTGGATGCTGGGATGGCCATGAGTGTGCCACTCACTGCATTCCAGCCTAGGAGACGGAATGAGACGCCACCTCAGAAAAAAAAAAGAAAGAAAATCCGGTTGGGGGCCAGATATCTTGGGATTAAAGGACAAGAATCGTATGGGTGTGAAGTCGGGGAAACTGAGGCAAGGGATTCCGAAGCCAAGATTGAGACAATCTAAAGGGCTGGAGGCATGGGAGTCAGACGTCATTGGGAGGAGGCAGAAGTCAGGAATCCCCTGAGATGGACGTGATGGGGGAAAGGTCAGAAGTAGGGCGACCCGGGGCTCCACACCTGCACGAAGTTGCTCTCAAAGATGGGGAAGTCCCGCAGCTGGTCGAACTCGCCGCTCAGGAGGTGGCGCTGGAGCCGTCCCGGACGGCCCCTGGAACGGCCTGCAACCGGGGGCGTTCCCGAGGGGCAGAGCTCGGGAGTCCATCCCAGGAAGCCGAGCCTGTGCCCCAGCAGGCAGGGCCCGGGGCGGCCCCGTGCTCAGGAGGGGCGCGTCTGACGTCTCCCAAGTGCCGGCTCCATCCCTTGCCTGGCTCCCCCACCCGGACCAACCCTCCGGGCCCGGCTCAGCCTCTCACCTGCCATCCCACCGGGTCCCGCCTTGCCTGCTCGCCCCAGAGCAGGCTATAAAGCTCGTGCCCCTCCTCGTCGTGCTGTCCCCGCCCCGGAGGGGAGCGGAGGGAGGAGTCGGGCGGGGCTGGGCGGAGGAAGAAGACGAGAGGGCGGGGCCGCGGGTATTGTGACGCCCGAACACGCCCGGACCTGGCCTGGTGACGTCACCGAGAAGCGGCCGGCCGGGTCGACGACGCCCCAGGAGGCGGCCCCGGAGACCCGGAGAAAGGGGCGGCCGCCCCGTGACGTCAGGCCCCGGTGGCAGATGGGCGCCAGCGCGCAGACGCAAGGAGCCGGCGCAGGCGCACAGCCGTCAGGATCGCGGCCCGTTCTTCCCGGCATGCTCCGCGGTCAGTTCGCACCCGCCCCTTGGCTGGTGGGAAGGGGTCGACATGGCGGTGGCCGGCGCTGGGGCGACTCGGCTGCTCCTCCTCTTGCTGCTAGCAGTAGCAGCGCCCAGTCGGGCTCGGGGCAGCGGCTGCCGGGCCGGGGCCACTGCGCGGGGGGTGAGTGCTCGTTAGCTCTGCACAGTGGGCGAGGTCGACGGGAGTCGCGGGTCTTGAGGTGGGCAGAGGCGGGGGGACTAGGCCGCGCGGGTCCCAGAGGGAAACGTCGGGAAGACCGTGGGGAGCCGGCCTGCGGCCGCGCGTGCAGCCAGTTCCGGAGGCTCCTGCTCATGAATATGGATGAGGGGGCGGAGCTTACATGGACTCTGGCGAATCAGACGTCGGGGCGGTTGAGACGAGAAGGCGCGGGGTGGGGCGCTCGAGGGACTGGTGCGTTCTGGCGCCTGAACATGCTGGGGGTGGGGGCAATGCTTCTGGAGCTTGCGCGACCCCTTCATTAGTGGGGAAGAGGGCGTGGGTAGATGGAGGACGCCGAGGTAGGGGGAATTTGGGGAGTTGGAGAGAAGGACGGCGTGGGATCTTGAGTGTGCTTGGTAGCGGCTGTTGGGGCTGCGAGGGTGAAAACGAGGCCATTTGGACATCAGCGTGGAAAGGGACCCCCGGGAGAGGGAGGATGGTCTTCAGCTCATGAATATTTATGGTGCAAGGCGTGAAAGTGACCTGGAAAGTCAGTTGCTTTGGAAATGGGGGCGGGGTGGAGGGGTTGGACTGTCTGGTCTTCTGGGGATGGAGAGCCTGGATCATGAATATTCATGAATGGGTGGTTCCCGGTGGAACAGGGGCAAGCCGCCTGTAATTGGACATGAATATGACACTAAGGCTGGTCCCTCAGCCTGCCTTCCTGTCTGCCCTGGGTGGCTGTGGGTTCTGCCCTGCTGAGAGCTTGGGTGTTCCTCACCTGGGGCCTCTGTCTCTCCCAAAGGCCGGGGTGGAAGGCCGAGAGAGCGAGGGCTGCGGGGCAGTGGGGCTGCTGCTGGAGCACTCGTTTGAGATTGGTGAGTCCAGCAATGTCTGCGCTTGCACACTTACTGGCACCCTGTGAAGTCAGGACTGCAGGTCCTGGTGCCGTCTGGTGTGAGACGGCAGCATCCCTTTCCTAACACCTAGCTCTGCCCTGGGCTGGGGGTGGGAGGGGCCCTGGGAGAAGAGAAACATGCCTTTAAATGCCCCTTACCTGTAAGACAGATCCCAGTTTCAGAAAGGTCAGCGCAGCGATCATGATTTCAGAGCACATTTTTCTGACTGTCCCTGGTTACATGTGCCGTGCTTTCGCAGTTCAGTGCTTGGTATGTGTCAACTCAGGTGTCCTTGCAATAGCCATGTGAGGTGGCAGGTGGTAGCGTTAGCCCCGTTTTCCAGAAGAGGAAACAGGTTGGGGACAGGCACCATGCAAGGTCCCCTTTGTGAGTGAGGAGCAGAGCTGGGACCAGCTCCAAGCCCAACTACAACTGTCAGGACACAGGTGTCCAGGTTCCTAGAGCCTGTGTCAGCGCTGCCCAGGATAAATCACTGAGACTGCGGCCCGGAACCCAAGGGTGCTTCTTGCAAACCCTGAGGCTGCGGTCACTCCCCAGACTCCGGCATCTGCTCTGTGAACAGCTCTGCTGATTCTGACACAGCCAGGTGGTCGGGAGTTCCTGAGTTCTGCAGCCTCTGTATTTTGCAGCCGGGGAAACTGAGTCTCGGAGAGGTTAGGTGACTGTCTCTGGTCACCTGGCAAGCCAGAGGCAGGACTTGGAGCTCTGGGGTTCATGCATCTGCTGTGAGTTGTCCTGTGAGGCAGGAAGGGAGGGGATGGCAGCGGGGTCCCGTTTGCAGATGGGAAAATAGGAGCTCAGGGTGGGGAAGGAAGCTGCTCACTCTTGGGTGGAAGCCAGGCCAAGCCTTGAGTCCCGGGTAGAAGGATGCGGTGGAGGGTGGTCACCGAGCCTGGGCTCCCCACAGATGACAGCGCCCACTTCCGGAAGCGGGGCTCGCTGCTCTGGAACCAGCAGGACGGTACCTTGTCCCTGTCGCAGCGGCAGCTCAGCGAGGAGGAGCGGGGCCGGCTCCGGGGGAGGGGGGGACCCTGGGGGGGGGGCATTCAGCCATCTCTCAGCCCTCCCGATCTCCCTGAAGCCCTGCCTCCAGGTCCAGGTGGGATCCCAGCACCTCCTGCCGCCCTTGCCCTCTATCCCCCAGTGACTGCCCCAGGCTGAACAGTGCCATGGTTAGCTTAGGCACGGTGTGCCTGCCTCAGGCCTTGGCCATGCTGTTCCTTGTGCCCAGCACAGCCTCTTCCCCTGCAAGCTTTGCAGAATTGGCTCCTTTCACCTTCCAGATTCAGCCGGGATGTGTCATGATCTTTTAGGACGCGCTCTGCTTGTGAGGAGAAGAGCCTCCAAATAGCTAGTCTGAGACATGAACTCAGTCCTTCTGGCGCTCTGTGCCTCTTCAAGGGCCTGGACTCCTTCCAGGCCTGGCTCCTTCCTCCCTAGGAGGGGTGCAGGGAAGCCCTGGGGAGCAGGACAGATGGAGGGCAGAGGGCAGTGGGAGTGGCATCTGTAGGGGAAACCTGGAAAGCTGGCACGGTCCACTTCACCCACTGGCCAGGGGTGGGAGGGAGGCGGGGAATGTGGGCTAACTTGATGCAGGCAGCCATGTGCCTGTGGACGTTCTCCCTGTGGCAAAGTCCACCCGGCCAGCTTTCCTTCATGGTGCCCACGTGATTCTGTCACAGCTGTCCCTAAAGGGAATTTAGTCCTCTGTGACTGGTGAGTCCAGGTGTGGCTGGATCCAGGCACAGGGATGGTGTCCTGGGGACTCACTCCATCGCTGGGCTGGGCTCTGCTGTCTTCCTGATGGCTTCTTCCCCAAGCGTAGTGGGTCCAGCTGCCCCTGGCTGACCCTCCACCTGGGCCACCCAGTGGGAAGAGTCCTGGGCAGACTCAGGTCAGCCAGGCTGGGGTGTATGGGAGGACAGGAGAAGCCTTCCTGCCGAGGCCTGGTGGGTAACACCTGCAGGGGCTGGCCCTGGCCCTTCACCAGCACCTTCTTCTGCCCTGCAGGATGTGGCAGCCCTGAATGGCCTCTACCGGGTCCGGGTCCCCAGGCGGCCCGGGGCCCTTGATGACCCAGAAGTTGGTGGCTACGTCTCCTCCTTTGTCCCTGCGGTGAGTCCCTGACGAGCACCAGCTCCATCCTTACTTCTCCCTCACCCATCCCGCTTCCCAGTGCTTCTGGAGCCTGCAGAGGCACTGATGCTTGGGCCTGGCCTTACCCTCGAGGCCTCCTGGTCCGAGGGTTGATCCAGGGGCCGGTGCTTTATGGGATGTCAGCGTTGTGAAGACCCGGGAGGCTGTTGGGCTTGGGCCTGTGCCTGAGTGGGGCAGGACACCCTGGGAAAGCTTGAAAAGATGCTTCGGGGGTCCAGTGGGGGACGGGGCCTGGGCTGCAGCCCTGCTCCCCTCCCCTAACCGCATCCCCCTACAGTGCTCCCTGGTGGAGTCGCACCTCTCGGACCAGCTGACCCTGCATGTGGACATGGCCGGCAATGTGGTGGGCGTGTCGGTGGTGACGCACCCAGGGGGCTGCCGGGGCCACGAGGTGGAGGACGTGGACCTGGAGCTGTTCAACACCTCTGTGCAGCTGCAGCCGCCTGTCACGGCCCCGGGGTGAGGCTTGGCTTGGCCCTTCCCTGCCTTCATGTCCCTGCTAGGTGCCCAGCCCCTGCCCCACCCTGGCCCTTCCTGGTGGTCTCTAACTCTCCTCTCCTCCCTTGCCCCAGCCCTGAGACGGCAGCCTTCATCGAACGCCTGGAGATGGAGCAGGCCCAGAAGGCCAAGAACCCGCAGGAGCAGAAGTCCTTTTTTGCCAAATACGTGAGTACTCCTCCTGTGTCCCTGCCCCTTCCTGGTGGGCCTCCTTGCTCCTGGCCAGAGTCCCCACCCCTGCTCCTCCCCTAGCAGCCCTCAGTCAGTCCTGTCCTCATCCTCTGGGCCTCCTGCGTGTGGGCCCCCTGTTCCCCTGGGCTGAGGGCAGTGGCACCCCTGCTGGCTCCTGAGAGGGTCCCAGCGCTGGTGGTGCTGGAGCAGAGACAGCCCCTAGATCTTGGGCAGCCATCACATCCTGCCTGGAGGTGCCTGTGTGGAGGGCGTGGTGGGTAGAGGGACAGGCAGCCCAGCTGGGCTGGAGCTGGGAGGCCGGAGAGGAAGGGAGGGGAACAGGGTGGCCGGGTCCTCCAGGAGGCTGTGCAGGAAGGCGGAGAGGAGGGGGCTGGGGGCTTGTGGCCCTGGGGAGGGGAGTAGGGGGCAGCAAGGTAGCCAGAAGGCCGCTGGAACTGCACAAGGAAGGGCCTGTGCCACCTGGAACAGGTCTGAGACTGGGGGCCTGGAGGCCAAGGCCCCCGGGGGATGCTGGGGAGGCCGGGAGGGAGGCAGCTCTCTGACGGCTGCTC